TGCTCCAGCTGTTGTACTTAATCTAAAAAAAAATTTATAATAATGTAACTTTTTATAGCAAGTACACGACATTTTTTCAAAATTTTTGGTAATAAATTTCAATTTTCTGAGACGTTTAATATTAAAAAAAAAAAAATTTCTTTTATCCTTCTTTCAGTAGTACGATAAACAAAATTTTTTCATGAAACACATTTTTTTATAACCATAATTATTTCATATTTTTAACAACAGTGAAACAGGTCCTATAAATTTCTTTTTCTGCATTATCACTACGACAAATAAGTACGATAAAGACTTGGTAAAACCATTATTAAATTTCTATTTTCAGTAGAGGATTAACATAAATTTTGTTGTTGTTGTAGTGACAATGCGAAAAAATGCTAGAAAGAATAGTTTTTAATTTTTTGGACCTGTTCTGCAACTTTTAAAAATCTGATAAATTCACGATGGTAGAAAAAGAAAAGTATGCTACATAAAAAAATTTTTTTGTTATACTACTTAAAAGAGAGTTTTTTCTAGAATTAAAAAAAAAAATTTTAAACGTCTCTGAAAATTTGAATTTGGTACCAAAAATTTTCCAAAAAAACTTTGTACAATTGTTATTTAAAGTGCAGATAAGTCAGCAGGTACTTTTTATCTCGTTTTTTTATTTATATGCTGGGTCCTGCTGTTCTATTATTAAAACACTAGCTAGAACCGACCTCTTCAACTGAATGACTTAATGGCATCGATAATCGATCGTTTTTGTTGTTGGGATACCTGCAATTTTCAGAAGGCGGTCTTTTTTGCTCACTACACTCGATACGATGGACAAAAAGTCTTTTGCACGAAAACTTGACGAAAAAAATTTTATCTCTGTAAAACAGGATTCAATTTTTTAGTCAAAAAAAATCTGAAAAAAATTTTTCATCCGTATGCATTACATAATTGCGTGTTTTTCATAAAAAATATAATTATCTAATGAGACGTAGTAGAACAATGAAGATTCTTCTACGGAGGATATCGAAATATATTCCCTAACTTGGCCAAGCTATGCTAGTCCTCGTCGTATTGATCGCGAGAGTACAAGGTTGAGGGCACGAATGAAGGCGCCTTGGAAATAGTAAAACTCAAGTTTGCTCGAGTTTACAATGAACTACGGTATTCATTTCAAAAAATTTCTGATCATACGCTCAAACTATCCCATAAAATTTCAAAATATATTGATACTTTCCTGCATCTGGTGAAAAAGCCAAAAGACGTGCATTCAAATTTTCAAATTTCCCTCCTCGATCGAGATCCCAGCACGAGCTCGAGCTCAAAGTGCAAGAGGGCGCCACGTGTTTTGCAGACGACGGCCTCACGGTCCGGACGACGCTGTCGTATTTTTTACGAGATTTTTTATTTACGTCTTTTTTTTTCGCTTAGTCGTGGCTACCGATAATACAGACAACTGTATTGTGTCTTTTTTTTTAACTCAGAAAACTCAATTTTTTTTCTCGCTAATTTTCAGTTTAAAAGTACACTGTGATAAT